ATTAGCTGCTGTTTCATGTTGAAAAAGGGCAGAAAATCAAAAATTTTAACAAGAGTTCAATTAGTTTTTTCAGGTTATTTTATTCTATGTCAGTGTACATAAGCTGAAAAGAAAAGGAACGGAAAATCATTGTAAGGTTTATATTTGCAATGTAAATGAGGGCTTTTTGTTTTGTTATGCTTTTTATTTATTTATTTTTTTTCAAAAGTAGACGATAATTCCTAAACATCGGGTCACACAACGTTATTAACCTCGTCGGACGATTATGCAAACACTGGTTAACGCTGACCAAGTGTTTCTTGTTGTTTTCCAGACGGTCATTCATGTTTATTGACGGTTTATCTGCCTGTTGCTGCTGCTGCTGCTGTTCAACAGGAACCGCAAAGCAGACAGACCAAAATTTAGAACCTTGGTTCGTCTGTTCACCAACCGTGACTTAATGGATCATTCGACATTGTCATGAGTACTCGAGATTTTGCTATTAAATCGATTGAGTAACGGCAGCGAATGTAACTTATGGCTATAGCCAAATTTAGAGGTTAAGGTGAACAGAAATAAGTGTTACCGAATAATTCGGGCTTAAAACAGTTATACAGAACGTTCCAGAGAAGAAGAGGCATAGAAAGTAGGATTTCTTTTGTTTCTTTGTTTCTTTTTTTTTTGGAGCGATTAATTCGATAAAAGCGTTGGCCTGAAGAGCTAAAAAAAGAAATAAGTTCAATTATTTTAACGCCGAAGTGGATGACTATAGGCTGATGTGTTGGTATTGTTCAGCGGTTTGTGACCTCGGCGATTAAGGGTCAAAATCGCTTTCATCCTCAAAATTTTCGGTTTTAGGTTTCTTTTAATAAAACCGCATCTTTAAGAACAAATTATAAAACATCTCCTAATCATCACGATCCTATTTGCATCATATTCATTGGCACTAAATCCAAAAAAAAAAAAAAAATATTTTTACAGTCTTGATTTCTTTCACAGCATAGTACGTGAGGTTTGATAGAATGTACCGTTAAGCACCTTTATATCAGAGTTATCCGTAATTTTATCTTCTTATTGATTATTAGTGTTATCACAACTACCGTTCTGTCAACACGGTGATAACTGTCAAAGTCATTATCATTACTAGAAAATCAATACTTTAACAACAAATCTGTGTTTTACTGTCTGCAAAAACAATTAAATCACCTAAAAAAAAAGTCATTTAGTTTTGGGAAATTAACTTTACTGAAAATGCGTTGCAAATTTTATTCTTGTACCTGCTTTTTTGTGTATTTTTTTCACCTCTGTATAAATAAGTTGCGGAAGAAACTGAACGAAAATTACGGTCAGTTTACACTCGCAAATTTGCAGTACTTGCAGCTTGTGACTGAAAAGCTCCCTCATTATCACTTTTCAGCCTTTGTTTTCTGTTTATAACCTCATCTGAGACAATTTTTTTTGCAATTTAATTACGCATCACTAAAATCAGTGTGAAGTTGCCAAAACGATAAAGAGATTAACACTGCACATCCCACTGCTTTGGGAATTTACAGATTTGAGGGCTTCAGTCTTATTGCGTTCATACTTTTGAGATCTTAAATCACATAAGTTTTTTGCTAAACGATATATCTGAAAAAGTTTCTATTAGAAATTTGCGTCATAGATCAGACTTTCTTGAAAATTTTACTTACATGTATTGAACACAAATATTTTTTGACAGTAATACACCTGATTATAAACTGCTTTATAAACGTTTTAGCAAAAAGTGTTTGTTACTTTCTGTCAGTGAAAGTCTGTTCCTGATGGCTGAGTGTTAGAAGGTATACTGGTAATAACATAATGTCCATTTTCTTTTTGCAGCTGCTATTTACTGAAATACCTATATTTTGTCATGAACAATATCTCTATCTAAGAGTCAAAAAAGACTTCTCTAAAGATGTTCAAAAAACTATTGCTGCAGTTTTGTAAATTCATATGACATTCTGTGTTCTAACTTCAGCCACTTCTGCCATGCGAAGACGTAGAAAAATTCTCTTTTATTGAAAAATTGTTGATTTCCGAACCAGTATCACTCATTGTCAAATCTGAGTCAAGCTCAACAATTTTTTAATTTTCTGATACAATTTCACAAAAAAGTTGGCACAACCCTCGGAGGTTTATCGTCGCTCGCAAACAAGCACCTGCAATCAAGTGACTGAACTTCGTGAGCCATCCTAGCAACATCAAGTTCTTTTTTTTGCGAATTAAAGCAGTAACGACAAAAAACTGTATTTTTCATTTTTATGAAAAATAATCAAAAAAAAATTTTTTTTCAAAATAAAATAGAGATGAGAAAAAAAGAGTAGATAGCAAATTTTATCGTAGAAAACTTTCCTCTGAATACTTTCTCAACTTAAACAGATTCAAAAATAAGCTTTTTAGACTCATTATTATCAGTAAAATAATTTAAAAAATTTTGTTAAAGAGGTACATAGCAAAAAGTAATTTTTGCTAATTGGAATAGAAGCAAAGTAAAAATACTGGAAAAAAAAGATTTGAGTTAAACAAAAAGATTTGAAGTTTTTTAGTGTAAAAACACCAAAACCTTACAGAATTGCTCGTTGACAGGTTGTTCATATTTATTGACCGTAGATAACATGCATAATAATTTTTTAACTTTCACTGAACAATGTTCATTTTTAATTTTTGACTGCAGACAGACTTTCCATTAAAAATTAAAAATAGTGATGTTATCTATTATTTTATGAACAAATTATTTATTTATCTGTTCTTTGATTAAAACAACTGCAATAAAATGTTTTAATTAAACACTTGAATAACCTATCTTATTATCAGCAATCTTAGTAAGATGCTTTAAACACTATTTTATACTTTATACTTATACTGTCGTATTTTATACAGTATTTTATACTGTCGTAACATTTTTGGGCATTGAGGGAATAAGGAGATATACAGCAACGGAACACCAATAAAAAAGTTTCATCAGAAATCCACTGAAAGCTGATTCACCATCGGTTTAGCTCGTTTGCCTGAATAAAATATTTCTTCAAAGAATAATTTAAAAAATAAATGAAAAATAATTCCCAATCTTTTTAGGTGACATGTTAAATTACCCGGTGAACAAAAGTCAAGTTTATTTTAGAAAGATAAGGCAGTAAGCTAAAACATCATAAATGACAAAAAAAAAAAAAAAAAAAAAAAAAAAAAAA